GGCTTGTAAAAGTTATCGATCTCTGACCGCATGTATGTGTGTGTACTGCATGTACACACACAGCCGAAGAGGCAGAATTCAGCTGTGAGCAGACACTGAAATTCTGAAACTGAGAGCGTCTGAACGGAAATGAAGGAGCGTCATAAACTCTACGTTTAGCCTTCTATCCAGAAATGCAGCTCATTCATTCAGGTGAAATTATTGAATTTTTTTGGTACAACAATTAATATGAGTAAATGGTTCATGTGTGGGGCAGCACGGTGGCGCAACTGGTAGAGCTGCTGCCTCTCAGCGAGCAGGTCCCTGGTTCAAACCCCGGTCCAGGGGCCTTTCTGGGTGGAGTTTGCATGTTCTCTCCGTGCATGCGTGGGTTTTCTCCGGGTACTCCGGTTTCCTCCCACAGACCAAAAACATGCATGTTAGGCTGATTGGTAACTCTAAATTGTCCTTAGGTGTGAGAGAGAGAGTGAATGGTTGTTTGTCTCGTTTGTCTCTATGTGGCCCTGTGATGGACTGGAGACCCATCCAGGGTGTACCCCGCCCCTCGCACAGTGATTGCTGGACATGGGCACCGGCGACCCCTGTGACCCAAAATGGAATAAACGGGTAGAGAAAATGGATGGATGGATGGTTCATGTGTGTAGCCCCATTGAGATTTAAATTGTATTTTTTTGCCTTCTTCAAACCACTTTACAGCTACACCTACCTGCACAGCAATCAGCTGAGTACAAGAGTATCAGAATGCTTTGAATAAATTACTGCTATCAGAATGGTTTCTGATCATTTATTCACAAGAGACCATCCCTCCCTCCCTCGCTCCATTCCATCCCATCCATTATCTTCCTCTTCTTCCAGTCAGGTCTTAGGGACAGCAGCTTCAGCAAGGAGGTCCAGACATCTCTCTTCATAACCACCTCTTCCAGCTCTTCTGGGAGGACTCCAAGGTGTTCTCAGACCAGCTCAGGGACATATAGCGCTTTGCCACTGTCTCAACTTTGACTGGCTCCACAACAGTTAATGGCCCGACCACTGCTGGTATCCACTCCACTCAGTCTGGTTTATGGGACCACCTTGTTCATGGTTCCAAGCAAACTGCTCCAAGGGGCCGATTTTGAAAAAAGCAGTCAGCAGCCGTTGATTGGCCAGCGGAGCTACGGCACTGGATGACCTGCCCAGTAACACTGCAGACTATATCTGAACCTGCACTTCCTCATCGTGCTGACAGACACCGCCACAAGAAATGAATGTATTCACTGAGAGATTAAATTCAATTCAATTCAAAAATACTTTATAAATCCCAAAGGGAAATTAATTGTTGTCGTAGCTCATCATCCTGGTTTCATTAAAATTCTTCTAGATGCTGATGCTATGGGCAAGAAGGATCTCTTGTAGCAGTCTGTCCCACAGCGGATCCAAAGAAACAGGCAGCAGAAGCCAATACGTCCACCCAGACCCAGCAGACCTCTCGGTCCTCTTGGGCGGCAGGACCACCTGAATGCTGGGCAGAACGCCTCACCGAGCAATGGCCATTCCTCCCAGCAGCCTGACGAGCCTCTCGTCATTGCTGACAAAACTGCAGGTGCCAGGGGATGATCTCGGTCTTCCCGCTGACACGAGCCACATTTCCCGCCACCTCAAAAATCTCGGCTGTCAGGCACTCGAGCACCACCTCCAGGTAGATGGGAATGCATCCACGGCACCTCCTTTTCAACTAATTTGGAATTTGGGGCTGTAGTTGAGGTAATATTTGAGCTTTTGAGATGTTAATCAGCTGCTCCCAGTTGTAGAAAGCCACCTTGTTGTCATGGTTCCGCATCATAACAAACGTCCAAAAGTAAAAAGGTTTCAGTAAAAATTCTTCCAGCTGCACTGCATCCAAAACCAGAGAAAACAATCATCCGAAAAAAGCGATTTGCCTCCAGAAAAAAAAAAAGAGTTATTAAAGATTTCAAAAGCAAAATCTCAGAATGAATGTAAGAGAGCTACTCCAACATGCAGCCACCTTGAGCGGCGCAATTCTAGATATCAGAGATGATGGTGCAGCATGTCTACACCTGTACTTATAAGCAAAGCAGGTAAAGAAATTTGTCGGATTATAGGGTGATTAAGGACCACAATGTGCAGAGTGGCTTGAACACAAAAAGACCAGTTACGATCCTGTTCATTTTACATTGACGATCACACCCACAGAGCAGGGAAACAGGTCAGCCTCCAGCGTAGTGGTAAATCACCTCCACCTCAGAAGAACCAAGAAGAGGAGTGCTGAGAAAAGCCTGCAATAATCTCTCCAGTGTGTACTGGGTCTTCCCCGGGGTATCCTTTCAGTTGGACATCATTACCAGATGTCTGAACCACCTCAACTGGCTCCTCTGGATGTGGAAGAGCAGCGGCTCTCAGTGCTACAACATCAGTTGTTGACAACTGTGCTACCATGTGGCTGTGCGCCTAGGAATTACTTTCTGAAAGTTTTAACAAAAATCAGTTCATTAGTTATTTTGTTAACCCCAACATTGAAAGGTAATTTTTTTTAGAATATCTCTTTTGCAACCAGTTTCATCTTATAGTACAAGCTGGGGGTCACTTTCTCCTACCATATCAAACATTAGGTTTTGTAGTTTTTGTGCTTGTTGAGGCAACTTAGCTGTGGCAGACATTTTGAATGAAATTGAATAATTAGTTGTAGATGTACATCTAATGATTACTTTCCGAGTTTTAATAATAAGTAGTCTATGTGGAATATGTCAATGTTTGATAAACCACTTACACAATTCACAATTACACCTTTCAAGCATTTAATGACTTCTGGGAACACATTAACATTTCAAAACAATCACTGCTCAGTCTTTTAGGGTTATCTAAAAAATGTTTTATTTCTTAATTAACCTTTATTTTTCTAAAATGGTCAACTGGCAGCAACAAGGGAGCAGGTTCACATTTATATTCATATTTTGTTGTTTTTTTAAGTTATTCAGTCATACATTTTTTAAATTTTTTTTACAAAACACAATTCTGTTTTTTTTTTTTTTTTAAACCAACAAAATATTTATTATATATTTATGACAATTTATTTTTGGGGTGAAAGAACTCTCCCCTTCCTCTTTAGGATACTCAAATGGATTGTTGATGGAGTGTTAAATACGAAGGATTTTTATCATTTTATTTTCTCATTTTAAAAAAAAAAACAACAACTTTGCTTATGCAGAACATCAGTGTGCGTTTTGTTTTATACTTTAACTGAACCATGTAAAGAAAAGGAGAATCAGCACCTCCAAATATGAGGCCATGGTCCTCAATCAGAAAAGGGTGGATTGCTCCATTTGGGTTGAGGGTGAGGTTCTGCTTCAAGTGGAGGAGTTCAAATATCTTGGTGTTTTGTTCACAAGTGAGGGAAGAATGGTGCATGAGATTGGCAGACAGATTGGTGCAGTGTCAGCAGTACTGCGGACTCTGTTCCTGTCCATTGTGGTGAAGAGGGAGCTGAGCTGCAAGGTGAAACCCTCTATTTACTGGTCGGTCTATGCTTCTACACTCACCTATAGTCTGGAACTCTGGGTAGTGACTGAAACAACAAAATTGTGAATACAGGTGATTGAAATGAGTTTCCTCCTCAGGGTAGCTGGACTCTTCCTTAGAGACAGGGTGAGAAGTTCAGTTATCAGGAGAGACTCGGGGTAGAACCGCTGCTCCTCTTCATTGAGAGGAGCCAGTTGAGGTGGTTCGGGCATCTGGTAAGGATGCTTCCTGGGCGCCTCCCTAGGGAGGTGCTTCAGGCATGTCCAACTGGGAGGAGACCCCGAAGAAGACTCAGGACACACTGGAGAGACTTTGTGTCTCGGTTGGCATGGGAACACCTTGGAGTCCTCCCAGAAGAGCTGGAAGATGTAGCTGTGGAAAGAGATGTCTGGACCTCCCTGCTCAAGATGCTGCCCCCGAGACCTGACTCCAGAACAAGAGGAAGATGATGGATGGATGAAAGTGTCACACAAAAACCTTTGTTTTGGGGATCTCTCAGATGTTATGACTCCCCTATGACGTAAACAGATTCCAGCACTGTCTATCCACCAACAAGGACATATTTTCAGTCAGGACAGCATGGAGGAGTTCCTCTGCCTGAATGTATGTGGACCTACTGCTTTGTACCAAATGTTCAACAATTTCCTGCGGGATCAATAAAGTTCTATCTTATCTTATCTTTTCATATCTTATCATTACGCTTACACAACACAAGTGTGTTTTTGCTGTTTTACATTAGAGCTTAAAGCATGTTTTAGGATTAGATGAAAGCATGTATGTATTCTACAGAAATTTGCAGCCAACAAGGAGGAACCAATGTTTCAACATCTTTCAAGAGTGAAAGTACCAGCTAGTGGGCTAACAGAAGAATCTATGAAATCAAAGTGAATGCACAGATGTGAAGAAAAGAAAACAGTAGCTGAAAGGAATTTTTTATGTGATATAATACTTTGTAGATAGGGGAGCAAAAATGCATATACAACAACCGTTGAATGGATTTCAATAGGAGCGCTTCAAACGATCCTGACAACATAAATATTTTAAAAAGATTGCTCTCATCAGAATCCATCATGTTTATTGACAACACCCAAAAGAAGAGGAAAAAAAGCAAAGTATGAGCAAAAATAAATGTATAGCAGTTTGCCCATGAGACCTTCTGAGAGTTAAAAAAAGATAAAAGTCTTGCTCTTCCTTTGTAACAGGCTGGATTTGGATCCACTGTTAATATAGAAACCTATTAGAGCAGCTCTGACCTTTCACTAAAATACCCTGAACTTTTATCTTTCCTGTAATCAGTTAATTTAATCTTTACCCCGAAGGAAAGACCTGAAGCAGAATGTGAAAGTGATGCCTCACTCTTTCTACGGAGCTGAAAACACAAACAGCACAAGATGGATTCCAGCTGAGACAAAAGACTGAGGGGCAAACAGAAAAAGGAAAAACACGGCAGGAGGAGAGGGTGGGAGGAGAAATGTGTTGCTACGTACCACATTGATGCCTCCGGAGTTTTCCAGACTGCACATCCCCTCCAGCGGTGCCATCCCGATAGTTGTTCCCTTGAAAATTACGCCACTATCACACACACAAACAAGAGAGGGGAAAAATATTTTAATCTTCTATCTTTTCACGTTTGAGCGCCACAGTGCATGCTGATTGCAGATGCTACAACTCTGCACAGCAGCAGACTTGATGAGCTGTCAGATCTGAGAGGGCGGGTGCAGGCCAGCTCAGTCCGCCATGTGGTCCCCCCTCAGCCGCCACTCTGCATCCACAAACAGAATCAAGCTCTGTCTGATGAATGAAAGCAACAACAACAACAAAAGCCTATGAGCCAAGGAAGCATGAGGGACAACCAGTTCAAGGTCACGGTCTTCTTTATTGTCATTCACATTATTATTATTTTTTTAATTATTATCATTAAGCTTTATTTAACCAGGCAAATCCCATTGAGATCACAGATATATTTTGCAAAAGAGGCCTGGGCCTGAAGGCAGCCTAACATGCATGTTTCTGGGAGGAAACCTGAGTACCTGGAGAAAACCCACGCAAGCACGAGAAGAACATGCAAACTCCACATAGAAAGACCCCAGGTCCAACCGGGGATTGAACACAGGACCTTATTGCTGTGAGGCAACTGTGCTAACCACTGAGCTGTCGTGCTGCCATCTCATGTGGTCCATGTGGTGGAACAAAATTGTGTACACAGGGTCTCAGCTATATCCAACAAAAGTATAAAATGTAAAGAAAAACAGTAATAAGCTCTAAGATATGAACTAAGAAATATGTTAAATGAAGAATAGGGTAAGCACTAATAGTACAAAAGAACACATTGAACAACAGCAGCAAGAAATAAATCAGCAGCATAAGATCAGCAGCATGGCTAGTCAGCAGCACATATCAACAGTCAAGTGGCATTCCAGTGATTTTTAGTGATTTTCAGTTAAAGGCTGATGAATGTTTGTGTGCTGCTGTTAGGAACAGAAGCTAAATGTTTCTCCAAATACAGTCTGTTTGAATCATCATGAGCCCATTTACACACAAACCAAATCTGAAATGACTCGACCCAAAGCAGGTGGTTAACTGGTAGCATGTGCATGCAATCTAAGCCGAGGCAGAACCCTGGCTTCCATCTACCACAGTAACATTAGGAGGGACAAATCTGCAGCTCCTCCAACCTATGATGGAGGGCCACTAAGGCTTGTTCACATTTGTTTCTAACTTTCATCTTTCATTTATGATTCCATAGCACTAAACACAGGTCTTAACTTCCTCAAAATGAATTAAAAACACTTTCACACAAACCACGTTTAGAGGTAGTCCTGACCCGTTGTATCCACCTGTGTCGGTCTGTAGAGCAGTCTGTCTTCAGACCTCCTGCTGGACTGAGGTGACCCTGCACTGTCAGTGTGGACCGTGTTGCAAAACGGATCCAACATAGTGACTGACAAAAGGAGATGGAGGTGAGCATTAAAAAAAATAAAATAAAGAAACACAAGCCGATGTCCCCCATCACTGAAGGACTTGAATAGTGAATGTTTTGTAATTTTTCAAGATGAGTGTTTTTCTGGACTGGGATTTAACAGGAAATGTAAGTAAACCCTAATGTTTTTGGTGAAATATATTCAAGTGGAGAGGTGCATTAACTTTTTTATTTTTTTTGCTGAGTGATGCAGAGTGACAGATCCTGGTAAGTGGAGGTAGCAATATTATCCCCCACCAGGTGTAATGGTGGAACCAGGGGGGTCAGTGGTGTTCTTGGTCACCCCAAAGGCCATCCAAACCATTTAACAAGAACTATACTTTTAATCTATATAATAAAAATATATAGGGAGTTTCCAATTCATTTCTTCATTTTATAACTGGGGAAAAAGATGAAAGAAGCCAAGATGAGGGACTAAATCTAGCTCTTTCAAAACTATTAATTTGATACAACATAAAAAACTCAACACATTGCAAGTTAAAAGAGTTGCCAACAGCACGATGAAACATCTACCATCTGTGTCAAGTGTTTTTCCAGTGCATTCAGTTTGATTTCTCCTTGTGGTTTACATTTTATTTTTGGTCTCTTGTGTTTTGGTTCAGCTCCTTGTGTTTCCTTGACATCTCTCACTCTCACCCTCAGTCAGCCTCATCAGTTCTTCAACTGACATGACATGACCTGTCAATCAATCCAACAGGCTTGTCAGCAACTGACCAATTAGCAATCACAATTTGTCCGAAAGTGGAACACCCCTTACCTGCAGGAGCTGCACGCATTTTCCCTCTGACAACAATGTTGGGATTTTACTTTACGAATGCTTTGAGGTTGTAAAAACTTTGTAAAAAATCATCCAAAATAAAAGTTAATCGTTGTCAGTGAGGAACATGTAATTCAGTTATCCTGAGTGAGGATGGAAAACATCCAACACTTTTCAGTCAGGTCATCTGGACAACAAAAAAGGTTGAATCATGTCATCTGGACTTCGTTTTTTTGTTAAAAAGAAACGTTTCGCCCCTCATCCAAGAGGCTTCGTCAGTCTGAGGCCTAGCCATCTGGTATTACCCAGAAGCCACCCTGACTCTTGTGTTTCAAGCCTGCCTCAGATACCCCTGAAGTCTGGCCTTTTCACTAATGGTTTCAAAAACACAAAGTTTGTTTTCTCAGTCATCCAGGTATATAACAACAAAACGAAGTCCAGATGACATGATTCAACCTTTTTTGTTGTTATATACCTGGATGACTGAGAAAACAAACTTTGTGTCATCTGGACAGTTTCTTTTTTGTGTGTGCTGAAACGTTTCACCTTACATCCAAAAGGCTTCATCAGTCAAGGAAACACACAACACAAAGCTGATTCTTCCCCCAACAGCTTACTCCAAAGTGGAACAAACCAGTTATGTTGGTGCTAAGATGGTCTCTTTGGCACGCCTCCTTCTCCAGATGACCTGACTGAAAATTGATGGATTGTATACATGGATTATTGAGCATGGACTTTGTTAGGATGGAAAACAATTTATTACCAAATTTTTTGCCCTATAGGTCACATTTTTTGCATAATTTCATGCCCTGTGACTTATACACCGAAGCGACGTATTTATGGATTTTTCCATATTTTTAAACCAATTTTTGGTTAAGATATAACTGTTTTCATTCATTCTGACTGAAAATATTAAACACTACCATTTTCAGCCACTAGATGGCACTCGAGTAGTATGGCATGCCGTTGTGTCATGTAATAGGTAAAAGTGGCTATTAATGACACAATCGGCTTGCCACAGTCTGTCACCTTTGTTCTGCTCGCCTGGAGCAACCGTCAAATCAACTTCATTTCTCTGCGCCGCACCGGCGAAATGCAGCTAATTTGACTACTGAAGTGCATTTATTAAGTAAAAGTTCATCTGAGACACACCTTTACTATAATGTTGAGCAAACAAACAATTGTTTTAGGTGCTTATCTGGCTAAATTTCGAAGAAATGCCCAGCATTCCTCCTTCCTGATTTCCTACCTCTGCGCACTCAAGGAGCAAGGAGACAACAAATACTTTTGAAATGCAGCTGATTTGACCGTCAAAGTGCATTTATTAAGCAAACGTTAGACTGAGACACACCTTTACTATAATTTCGAACAAACAAATAATTGTTTTTAAGTGTTAATCTTGTTAAATTCTTGTTAAAGTAAGTCCTCGCATGCATGTTCGTGTGGCCACCATTTGGCAGACAGTTGATTTTTGGCACAACACCGGCCCACAATTCCAGGTTTTCCGCGGTGACGTGTAACATGTGCGGCATGTCAGCGGTGATGCATAATAGATGCGACATTTACAGTGAAGCGACGTATTTATGTAATTTTCCACTTTATTAGACATATTTGGACTGATGTGATTTATAGGGTGGAGCGACATGTGCGGCGGAAAATACGGTCCATTTCCAAAAACCTAAACGGAGTCTGGAAAAATGTAAAAGATGGATAAAGGTCAGCAGCCGACCTGATGAGCAGCTAAATACAACAGTGATAAACAGGAAGTAGCACATGTTCATCTGTACGAAGGTAACTGCAGGTAAATCCTCCATTTTTTGTCATAATTACATTGTATGCTTAAATTACCAACTGAGGCACAGTGACTCAGTTGGTAGAGCTGCCACCTCTCAGCTAGAAGATTGCCGGTTCAAATACCGGTCCGGGGGCCTTTCTGGGTGGAGTTTGCATGTTCTCTCTGTGCTGTGTAGGTTTTCTCCAGGTACTCTAGTTTCCTCCCACAGACTAAAAACATACATTGTTAGACTGATTGGTAACTCTAAATTGTCCTTAGGTGAGTGAGAGAGTGAATGTTTGTTTGTCTCTATGTGTCCCTGTGATGGACTGGAGACCTGTCCTGGGTGTTCCCCTCCTCTCACACAGTGATGGCTGGATATGAGCACCAGTGACCCTCATGACCCCAAAATGAAGAAATGGGTAAAAGAAAATGGATGGATGGAAGTATCTTTGAAATATTTATTTATTTAATTGTTTTGCCTGTCTTCTTTGCCTTAATGTTGGCTGATAAGGCAGAATGTCTCACTACGTGCCTCATGTAACACAGTGAGCTTCTCTACCTCAACATTACAGCTGTCTTGTTTGTTTGTTTGAGGTTAGATCACCCTGGGTTACACTTCAACGTGGGCAGAGCCATCTTACCATTCACATCATGTCAATCATCACTCACACCTGCGCAATCATCCCAGGTGCTGTCACTTTTCACTCCCTCTGTTCCGTTGAAACCACTTCTAATCACAATTCATTGACAAGAGAGACCCTTCAGGTCTCACTTGTCAATGAGTCCCCGAGGCTCAATGGGATTAACCTGTATAAATAAAAGTTGAATTCAATCAGCGGCTCATTGGCTTGGCTTCATGTCTTCGAATGTCTCGGTCCTCCTCGTACTCCCTCGTGCCTTTCTGTATTTGTGTAAGTTGTTGCTGCCACGTCACTCCTTTGTTTTTGTTCATTCAAATAAATTAGTTTTATTTAATCCCCTTGTGTGCCTCTATCCCAGTCCAACCCCTCTCAGACCATGACACTCTGTCATGGAGCAGAAGAGGATTTTGGGAATAT